ATGCTGCTGAGCAGGGCCTCACAGATACTCTGGTATCCCTGTGCAGCAGGTGGCTTGGGAGCCTGCCACTGGACTTTGTGCTCTGGAACTTCCTCTCCCCTGGTGCCAGGATACCCAATCCATGGACAGGCTACACCTCTTCCCTGTGCTGTGTGATGATCATGCTAGCTCCATGATTGGAGTTTTCACTCTATGTATGTGGCTAAAGTAATAGCAATGGCCATACTAGTTCAGATGAGGGTCCATGGAGTCTGGTGTTCTGGTCTCTGACAGCATCCAATACCAGCTGCTCCTGGGAAAGGTGTCAGAATCCTTGTAATGCGTAATCCACTCATAGAGGAAAAGCTACTAACCCCTTCAGCCTCTTGTTGGCTTAGGCCTGAAACAGGAAGGTTTATATCCCTTATAATGTTTGATCCAATCCAAACTGACTTTGAATGTTCTCACTAGCCATATAAGTGTCTAATCTGTTTTTGATCTTGCCAAGCTCTTTGCCTTACTGTGGCAGTGAGTTCCACAGGTTAATTGTGTTGTGTAAAAGTGTCTTTCCCCTTAACAGTCTTAAATTTTTGCCTCTTCACTTCATTGAATTTATCTTAGTTCTTGTATTATGAGAAAAGATAAATGGAAGTGCCCCGTTTGCCTTCTCGAGTTATTATTTTATAGGCAACTATAATGTCACTTCTTATTTATCTTCTCTCTTATCAAAATAGTCCTAATATTTCTGTTTTTTTCACATAGGGGAAGTCTTTTCATGCATCATCAGTATCATAGAATATCAGGGTTGGAAGGGACCTCAGGAGGTCATCTAGTCTAACCCCCTGCTCAAAGCAGGGCCAATCCCCAGACAGATTTTTGCCCCAAATCCCTAAATGGTTCCCTCAAGGACTGAACTCCTAACCCTGGGTTTAATAGACCAATGCTCAAACCACTGAGCTATCCCTCCCAAATGTGTTACATTTCTGCCATATTTATAATTTTGAGATGGGGTGAGCAGAACTGAAAATTAGTGAAAGTGAGTACATGCCATCAAATTACATTAACAGGTTTTAAAGCCAGAAGGGATCATTATAACCATCTAATCTGGCATCTTGCATGAGGCAGCCAGAGTGTAAGGTGATGAGTCATGCCTGTGCTAGGCTACAGCCAATCCACAAGCCAGGAACTGGTCGGGTGATTTTCAGGGCAGGTATTTAAGCCTCACAGGAGTAGCTCAGTCTGCTTGATGTAATTCTAGCTTTTGGAACTCTATCCAGCCTGATAGTGGCAACAGATGGCCCGCGCCTGTGCCTGCTCTGGTCTTGCCCGTGCCCTGGTCCTGGTCCTGGTCCTAGTCCTGCTCCAGCCTTGCTCTCACTCAGGCCTCATCCAACCCTGCTCTGGACTCCTGTGCTGACCACTAGGACCAACTGGCATGGCTCTGACCATCAGGCATGGCGATCCCTATTATGATTTCTGTTACAGAGAATGTCATCCACTAATTCCTGCAGCACGACAAATAATCCGAGGTTGAACTAGAGCATGTGTTTCAGAAAGACTCCCAATTTTGAGTGAGACAATGTGGCCTAGTAACTAGAGGATTGAAGTTGGACATAGGAGACCTGGGTGTTATTCCTGGATCTGCTGTTGAGGTACTTTGGACAAGTCACTTCAACTCTCTGTGCCTCAGTTTCCCCATTTGTAAAATGATATTGACTTCCTTTGTTATGTGCTTTGAGATCTATGGATGAAAAATCTTATATATTATTTGATATAAAGATTTCAAGTGATGGAAAATTGATTACATTCCTAGAATTTACTACATCACCACTACATTCCTAGATAATGTATAATCTGCTCAAATGCTTAATTACTCTCACTGCTAAAAATGTGCATTGTATTTCCAGCTTGAATTTTTGGGGGACAAATTGTGAAGGGCTTCAAAAGCAAGGGCCAAACTGGAAGACAACATGAAGAGGGAGTGACACAGTCAAGGCGATGGACCAGAAAGATGACCCTGGTGGTAGCATTTAGAATGAACTTTAGGGGGGTGAACTGGGAGTACTTAGATGAGTCTAGAACAAGGAGCTGCAATACCCAAGATGATAAGAGCTTGGCCAAGGATTTTGGCAGAATGGGCACAGAGGAAAGGTTGGATCTTGGTGATGTTACGCTGGAAGAAGCAGCATGGTTTAAACATGGCCTGGATGCGTGAGTCAAAAGAAATGGATGAGTCAAAGATGAAGCCAAGACTACAGGCCTGAGTGACATGGAGGACGGTGGATGACACAGAGGATGGGTGGGTTTAGAGGAAGATCAGGAGATTGGTTCTGGCCATGTTAAGTTTCAGTGGGTGACTGGATATTCATGTGGAAAAGACATAAGAACAAGAGCGGCCATACTGGGTCAGACCAAAGGTCCATCTAGCTCAGTACAGTGGCCAATGCCAGGTGCCCCAGAAGGAATGAACAGAACAGGTAATCTTCAAGTGATCCATTCCCTGTCACCCATTCTCAGCTTCTGGCAAACAGATGGTAGGGACACCATCCCTGCCCATCCTGGTTAATAGCTATTGATGCACCTATCTTCCATGAATTTATTTAGTTCTTTTTTGAACCCTGTTATAGTCTTGGCCTTTATAACATCCTCTAGCAAAGAGTTCCACAGGTTGACTGTGTGTTGTGTGAAGAAGTACTTCCTTTTGTTTGTTTTATACCTGCTGCCCATTAATTTCATTTGGTGACCCCTAGTTCTTGTGCTATGAGAAGGACAGACCATGATTTTGGTTTGGATGAAGAGAGGCAGGTCCTGAGTAGTGATTTGTGAATCACCTGCATAAAGATGGCTTTGTTCTTCTTTGTTCTCTCTTGTAACCAGTTTACAATCTGTGACAGAACTATACTGCTTCCCCCAAGACTACTTAATTTCCTTAATAGCCTCTTCTGAGGAACTCTATCAGAAGCTTGTTGAAAGTCCAAATAAGATCCACTAGCTCTTCTGCATCCTCTGCTTTGTTGAGTCCTTCAACAAATTCTAATGGACTGGAGATGCTGATTTCCTTCAGAGAGCTTCTTGTTGTTTATGTCTTTAGCTTATCTGCTCTTAACATTTCCATCTCACACTTTACCTATTTATCTACTACAGTCCTCCTAACAGTAGTCTCAGAGTGCCTCACAAGTGTTAATGGATGTTAGCCTTACACTCCCCTTGGGGGGGAGGGAGGAAGTGTTTTCCCTGTTTTATGGATGGGGAACGCAGGCACAGTGTAGATTACACTGCTCTACAGCCAAAATGCTTCTGAAATAAATGTAGT